TGTGTGTGTGTGTGTGTGTGTGTGTGTGTGTGTGTGTGTGTGCGGTGGAAAGCAGAAGTTAAACTCACAGATGAGGAGCATGACTCCTCTGTAACTGCAGTACAATTTTGTGTGACTCGTAAGTCACAGATGAGTACCATGAGTCTCCTGTCCCTGTAAGTGTGACTCATGAGTTTGTGACTTTGCACGGATGCAAGTGTGTTGTTTAGTCACAGAGGAGTTCACAGCCTTCATGTAATGGATGGGCAGGCAGCTGAATCATAACAGCAATACCTTTATTTCTCATCTTCGAACTTAACTATCATACTGTACAGGGTGAATACATTGCCAGAAACGACATCCCGCCCATCACTCCGCAGGACAAACAGCCATCCAAACAGCTGAAATTCCCTTTGATTGTCAAGCTTATGTGCGAAGATCTAGCGCATACTATCCTTTTCAAAATTTCACTCTCTGCTACCACTATGTATCTGTGGCATCCATTACCACCGAGGATCCTGGTGAACCCTGTTTCATTCCGCAATCTGCTGCAGACATGCATAGTAGCATACCACAGTGTCATCCATAATTTCAGATGGACCCGCCTCGACAATACTTCCAAGCTGTTCGACTCTACCTCGACGACCGGCCTCTTTTGAGATGCTGTGATACAGCCAGCACATGATGAAAACTTGCCACCTGCTTCGAAAGCACTCTCTTTCCATGCTGATGTCCATAGTACCGTGAGGGAAAGGTGAAAAGATGGCTTTGCTCTCTTCTCTTTCAACGGCTGTCCAATGCTCATGCCCTCTGTATGTTGATGTCAACTGGCCTGTACCCGCTTTGTCTTTTCGTGTTGATGTCACTCTCCGTTTGTCGCAGCAATCACCTTCCACCCTTTCTCTCCCTGTTCTACTTAATCAAATTGCTTTTGAAATTTGAAAGGTGATGTCCAACTCAGCTTCAACACACCATAATCTAGAACGCAATACGCATTGTCTTTGTCCTTTCTCTCTCGTACCCTGGCTCGCTTCTCAACCACCAGCACCTCCGCCAGGTCTTCCATGCGTGCCGGGATGCTGCACATGATATCCTGTTAAGGTAAGGTCAATGGGAATTATCAATCCAACTCTGGAGTTCCTCCCAGAACCCCTCAAAGCCGACAGCTAGTGATAGGTCATGCCTGAAAGCAGCACGCGAAAGTCGAAGAACGGCTTCGATGAAGCAGAAGGTAAGGTTAGGATAACGGACTTGATACGTGAAGCCGGTCCCATTCCGGGCCATACGTTACTGTCCACGTCTCAAGCTGGCGGCGGGCGTATACGTGGAGAATATATCCACGAGCTCAAAGCCCACAGCCCTATCCACGAGCTGCTGGTTCATGTGGTTTCTCTCTCTCTCTCTCTCTCTCTCTCTCTCTCTCTCTCTCTCTCTCTCTCTCTCTCTCTCTCNACACACACACACACACTTCTAACTCTCTCTCTCTCTCTCTCTCTCTCTCTCTCTCTCTCTCTCTCTCTCTCTCACACACACACACACACACACACACACACACACACACACTTCTAACGAGTCGGTGAAAGTCCAACGGAACAGACTGGCACAGTCATGCTTGCTTCGTGGAGTTGTGTACAGCAGTCATGACAGCACACAAAATTTCGTTGCGGCCTTGACATGCCATTCTTAAGTAACTGTGAACATCAGCCTGCTTTCCTCCCAACGTGTGTCGTCAATGTTTCGGGGAAGCTATCACAGAAGGGATGTATCTCTACTGCGCGGATTGTCCCGATAACATCACTCACCACATCCTCTCCTAAAATATTCTGCATGCAACGCTCGGTGTACAGCTGCCGCGACTGCAGTCGGATCTCCTTCATGCTCGTCAAACGAACAACCGCTGCAGCAGCCTGAGGATGAAAATGGACTATCATATAAACATTTTACTGAGCGCTTAATCACCACCAGGGCGAATTGTTGCAGACCGAATCCTGCAACAGCTAAACTCATGCTTTGTATCAGTCCACGTTCCCGTTGTCGTCTATCCACACAGAGGAAATAACGACGGCGCAAAATCACGAAACTTGCTCAATGTCGTTCTACAATTGCACACTTGATGTTTGGCTCGCATGTGATTTGCGCGCCTTGTGTCGTGAGCATGACGAAGGCATAGTCGATGTGAGTTTTTCCTTTCATACGTATGACAACAGTTAAGCCACCAGTACTTCCTAAAGCCGTGCCCGTTAACGCGCCACGATTTTAGGAAACGTACGGGCCACTGCAGGAGCGCCCAAATTCATCCAACCAGAAGCGTTTCTACTCTATTTTTTTTCTTCAATGGCCGATAGCTGGGCCAAGTACTGGTGGTTTAACATTGCACTCGTGTCCGATACTCGGATGTGTCATGCCCAATTTGTAGTTAGGGGCTGCAACAGCAATGCCTATGCGATTGCGGTTGGCATGCCTCTGTGCTCCTAGCATGTATAGGAAGCACATAGCATGTGACTTCTCTCTACGCCATGCCATTCGACAACTGCAATTGTGAGAATTGGATGTGGTGCTTCGACGGTCAGACTCCACAGCCGAACCCGTATTGTCTGGTCTGTAGGGATGGCTACTTACCGTAGTAAGCAACGGCTCTGCTCCTCAAGTCAAAAATCTTACGCGACCCAAAGCATTGACTGGCCTCTCATAGCTCTTTATGGCCGGGTACCCAGATAACGGGGGCGCTTGGATACTCGGATGTGTAAGCCGAGTTTTTCAACTTTTTTGCATAAAACAAAATGATAAAATATACATTCATTTTATTTTATTTTATTTTTATTTTTATTTTACGTATATTATTTAGGTTGTTTTTCCGGGCGCCCGGGCACCCAACTTGTGCCCGGATACACGCCCGGGTAGCCGCCCGGGCATGACCCCCGGGCAGGGCTCCGGGCAGCCCTAGCGCAAACAAAAAAATAATAAAAAAATAAAAAAAATAAAAAAAATAAAAAAAAATAAAAATGAAAGTCCAAAACTTCCAGAACAAAAAAAAAGTGTTGTGTAGAATTGCAATACGAACAACTTTTGGCTGAGGGTCACATCAGAATTCCTCGCCGGATTGGAGATGAGAAAGAAAATAACAACATCACACTGGGATTTGGGGTCTTCTGGGAGAGCGCAGAAAGGCAAAAACATACATTCTTTTCTTTTTTGCAGGCCCGGGTACCCCGCGCGTAATACCCGGGTGCCCGGCCGGGTATGAAATCTTCCTACCGTAATATGTATTTCGTGAAATTTAACTTAGTGCCCTGTTTTTCGGTTTTCAAGAGTGATCATGCATGTTGTAATAAATGACCGTAAAACACTGAAGCTGGAAATCATGCCAAAAAACCCCGAAAGTCGCATTTTGTTGCTCCCATGACACAAAAGACAAAACTAATCTACAGAGAGTTATGATGTCAGGCCCAATTCCTGGCAATCAAATATAAGGGGCGCCGGACCCTATTCCTGGCTGTTTAAACCACCAGTACTTGGCCCAGCTATTGGCCTGGACCACAATGGCTGGAAGCGCCAGCCAAAAAAAAATTGAAACGTTACCCTGGCGCTCCGGCAAAAGCAGGGGCATTTCAGGCTCGGCATCCATAGCTGGGCCAAGTGCTGGTGGCTTCTAAAAAAAAAAAAAAAAAAAAAAAAAAAAAAAAAACGAGTTGTAACTTGTAAGTTTTACAAAGTATAAGTCCGAATAACAACTATGAAGCTTTTTTTCATGCTTGCTATCATCCTTTTTCATAAAATACTAAAAAACTTTTAAAAAGTCTAAAAATAGGAATACGCATCTCTTGAAAAAAGAAATGACGGCAATCTTCCTAGAACGCTCATCTACTGATGTGTCATTGTGTCGGAGAGAGGCTCGAGTGTAGAACTATCTTACTATTGTTGTTCTCAACGCCCCTCGAGCCTCTCTCCGACACAAACTCTTAAGACCTCACTTGCAGCCTTTCAGACATTCGCACAAGAGAATACACGCGAAATTATAATTTCCCTTTTGCCCTTTAGACTTCGGAAGAGACTTCGGAAGAAAATAGTGAAGTGCAACTAAGCAGTTACAACATACTCATGACATATTCCGCCGCAAGCCCAAAAATACCCTTCTTAGAAAAAGAAAACCCTCAAATGCCTCCTCACGCTAGCATTTTTGCATTTTTGCCCTTCAAGTTATAACACACAGTCTCTCACCCCATTTACGGTCAGCCGCTTTCAGAAACCAGTACCTTATAGGCTTTATCCTTATCTGCGGAGTTGGGGTTTCCAATAGCGAGGTCCTCTTTAATCACCCTCGACAGCATCGTGCCTTAAGAAAATCAATGGACATTTTTAGAACAGCAAGATCCCAACTAACGCTCGCTGCCATGGACCTCGATTAGTATTATCTAGTTTTGGAAGAAAACAAACAAAAAAAAAAAAACAGACGATTAATCATGTTAGCCTGCTCACTTTATAAAAACGGTACCCCTCTGTGGGGCTACCCATAGTAATTTTGTAAAACAGTATGCGTGGCAAAATAGTAAGGTTAAAGTAAACTTTGAAACTTCAATATGAACTCGGAGCAAAAAAAAAAAAAAAAAAAAGAAGAGAGAGAGAGAGAGAGAGAGAATTGAAAAATTCAGAGGATTACCTTATGTGATTCACGTTTTTTTTTTTCCAATGCACCTTGACCGTGAGGACACATTATGTTTTATGCTCGAAAATAATATTACACAAAAATCATATAAATCAGAGTAATGATCAGTAGTCACATTTAAATTTAAAACAGAAAAAGTTGAAAACTTGAAAAACATAAGCATTTTGAAGCAAACTCTATGATCTCAGACCAAAGCATTTTGAAGTAAAAGACATTTGTTTCTCTTTCTTTCCTTGTCTCTTCTCTCGTTTTTAGTGTCGTGCCATTGTGCCACCGAAAGTGGTGTACCAGCAGTTAAACAACAATTTTTTTTCATCTTTGTCACTTTTACTTTTGTTATTTTGTAATCTTATTGGCATGATTCCTTATTCCACGCTGGTAGGTAAAGCCTCTCAATGAGAGAATACTCGCACTAGCACTTCCCAAAATGCATAATGCATATGACGGTTATGAACTGATGACCGCTATTCCATCCAAATCCATTTTTTTGTTTTCTTTCTTTTCTTTTCTTTCTTCTTGTGTTTCGTTTCTTTCTAAGATGAGGGCCCCGGCAGTGAGGCACAGCCCCAGGGCGTCTTCGGCTGTTCTCAATAAATAGTGTAGCCCAACCCTGGTCCTCTTTTTTTCTTTTTCCGATTTTTTTGTAGTCCAGACCTAGCCTGCCTTACCACTGAAGACATTGCTGTCACCGGCCTTTTCACTCCAGACCTAGCCTTGCACTCCAGACCTAGCCTTGCCTTACCACTGAAGACATTGCTATATTATTCATTTACTAACAGAAAATTCATAAAATAACACATGACAAAAATAAATTAGCTATTCATTTACAAGAAAAATCTAACAGTGACAGTGACAGGGCATTTGGACTGGTGGTTTAATGATCTTTAATCCCAACTCACAAAGTCGCCAGCTACTAGCAAGTGCTATACTTCTCATCGAAATATATCAGATCTCAAGATTCTCAACACAATCTCCTTTGAATGCTCACTTAGAGCATTGTTGGAAAAAAAAAAAAAAAAAAAAAAAAAAAAAAAAAAAAAAAAAAAAAAAAAAAAAAAAAAAAA